ACGATAAAATTTCGAAAAACTTCAACCGTTGAAATTTAACTTCTGTTCTGCTCATATTTCTTTTCTTTATATTATTTTTCTTGTCTGTCTATTCATTAATTGGTAATCATTGCTAATTAATTGCTATCTTCTTATATATATTTTCTTTAATTTAAATGTTCTTTAATTGATTTGGTGATCAAAAGTGTAGTTTTTTGGTGATCATTTCGATAGAAATAAATTTGGTGCTCAAAAGTGTAATTTTTGGTGATCAAAACACACTTTCCTGCATTCAACCTATCTTAATCATACATGTATTGATCACTAGCATCTACATTATGCTCAAATGTAAAGAGCTTTTGTTCTGATGGAAAATCATCTCGTAATTTATAAATGGATACATGTTTTTTTAATATTCTTAATATGTAAATTTCACAATATGGAACATTACCTGGAGTTGTCAAAGAAATGGATGAATCAGATGAAAATAAATTAGTCTTTACAAAATTAAATGAATGATGTCATTTAGTGATTCAGAAAACATTTTCGAGAATTTAATGTAGTACATCAATCAATTAAGTTTAAATTTTATTTAAAATTTAAAGTCCTAGTCCTCCTTTTGAAAACCTTGTAGGTCAGTCAAAACTAATTGTAGAAAAGTCATTCATGCAGTACTTGATAACCGATGGTCTGTTGTTATGATCTGACGAAAAAACTTTAAAAAAACCTTTTTTTACGATAATAATTTTTAATTAATTATGCTAATGAATACTGATTTATATCCTTTGATGCTTTACATTTTTATTTGCAAATTAACCGTTTATGGAAACGGTAAAACAATACGTCAATCGACAGAGATTTCCAAGCGCTACAAGCGTCTGAATTTTCCTTTTGAAAATGGTAACATTTTCTTCATTCGTCTGTATTTTTCTATAACCAGTTCCTTGTACTCGGTTTAAGGCAAGCGAGGTTTCTACCATTGATGTCTGAATAGAGCAGCAATGGCTGTTTGTTGAATAACTCGAGAACGAAAAGAGATAGAGGTTTCGGATTTTCAGCATTTTGTAGAGAAGGCTTACTCTATCTCTACGTATACTCTGTGCTAAAAATCTGGGTTTTTCAGCAGGTGTACCTGACTGTATTGAAAATTCAAAAACCAAATTTACGCTTATTACATATTCAAAATGTAGCAAAATTATTCATATAACGAAATATTTTATGCAAATACCATGTTCAACTTTAAAACATACAGAACGATTATAAAATACTCTAAAAGAAGATAGTGCATAATCTGATAAGATAACAATTGATAACATTTAACAATAGTTCGTGTGTTCAAAAATGTAAAACGAGTTCAAATAGTGATGAAAATCTTGTTTATCAAGTGTTGTAATGTCTTAAAAGTTTAATTAGTTTTACAATAGCCTATCAGGGAAATGTAATGTTAAATTATTTGAAAATTCTAGTTGATTTAGACTACTGAAAACAAAAGTTGTAAATTTAGTCATAAAGAAAATACTATTGTCATTTGATTTTAAATATTCTCTGTCAATTTTGGAACATGGATAATCGCATTAGTTTGAAAACTAAAACAGAGTACATAAAATTGAAGTATCTATCGATCTACATCGAAATTAAAACATTTTGAGGAGGGGTCGATTTCTACTGGATGCCAGACACGGTCGTTTATAAATACAAGCAAATATGAAAGTCGTTAAATCATTTAAATTCTCTTCGAAAAAGTAATCGATGATATACCACACCAACTAGCCAGTGCAAAGATTGCCGTTATTATTCTTTGACTTCTGTGATAATGATGCATGCACCCGTGTGTTTGTAACCGAAAATGATCTGCTAAACCATACTGCAAGTACTGAACAAACAATACTAAATCGATCGTCCACCTTAACATTTATCTACTGACTGGTTATTTTTATTTAATCTCTTATTAACGACTATTGTTCTTGTGTTTCAAGACTAGTCCTGTTTCATTGATTTCAATACATAAAAATGTTCTTGCTTCTTTATGACCTTTGATACAATAATTGTATTCCGTATTTACTTCACTGAGCTGCATGTATAAAATTTGTAAAATGAAACGCATTCAACATGACGTCTGTGGAGGGCTAGAGCGAGGGAAGTGAAACAAGTAAAGTATTACTTAAAAAGTATTTTTAGTAGGAAAGAAGAAGAAGAATTTTTGATTAATGCTTTACTTGTTTTACTTCCCTCGCCCTAACCCTCTGCAGTCGTCATGTCATGTTGAACGTGGAATAACGATGATTATTTCACCTCGTTGCGTTAACATTAATGCTGAATTTATTTAGTTTACTCAAAATAATATTCAAGTTATCAATATTGATCTGCATAACTGTTGCTATTGTATCAAGTTCACTATTCCGTCTAATGTTTAATGATGACGAGATGGTGACTTTTAATATTTCAAGAATTTGTAATACCATCATTAACAGCAAGTTGTACACTGTGAGCGTTCAACGTATTTATTCCGAACCAGTTCTATTCGAATTATCGCCAAAAGCCATCACAAAAATTACGCAGTTTAGTAATCAACACTATTACAATTAAAATACAGTAAAAATCCACTCACAAACCTTTTATAAATGTGCTGAGCATCGTGTATTTTGTGTAAAAAGCAGTTGTATGCCCGATAACGTGAATGCACAGTTGGTATCTACTAGTAGATACAAGGCATGCATTTTGATTCATTTCTGATTCCTATAGAAACGAAGAGGAAGGTCAACAGAAGACAACAAAATATCTCGAGAAAGAAAAGAGAGAAGTTTAATCTTCGTTAACAGAGAATAAAAAACGCAAAATTGCACCTACAGAAAAGAAAACTTTTGTTATGAGTAAAGCATAAACAGAGAACAATTTAACAGAAGAAAAATATAAAACACGTTCCACAAATTTCGATTGTCCGTAGCTAAAACAATAGGTTGTCCAATTGTTCCGAATAGATGGCCGCTTCAGTGAACCGGACTAATCCAAAGGAATGTGCAGCATGCAAAGAGCTGAAAGAAAAAGGACGTGGTGTGATGATATGTGCCGGATGTTCACAAATGTTTTGCAACAAACACTATCCACAACATCGACAACTGATAGATAAACAATTCGATCAACTCATAGAACAACATGCGCTTTTTCAACAAGATTTAAATCAAACACAACACAAAACCGTATCTCAATTGATACAAGAAATCGATGAATGGCAACAAGAGATGTTCGACGAGATAATGAGAGCAGTTACGGCATCCAAACAAAAACTGACACAAACGTTGAGCAAACAAGACGAAGTAAAACGCAAATTTACACTGATCACAAACGATTTACGTGTAAAACAATCAACTCATGACTACGATGAAAGCGATGTCGACGAATGGAAACAACAATTAGCCGAACTAGAACAACAACTGAAGAATGTGCAAACACAGAAGTTGAATCTAAACAGATCTATTAATTTTACAAAACTTATCGATATACAAGTCATCGAGAAAACGGAATCTATCTCCCCACCTCTTCATAGTCCGAAGCAACCGCTATTTATAGGTGGAACATTATTGAACGACAAACAGCATCAGATAAAACTTAATGAGTTTTGTGGTCGAGAAAAAGAACACTGGACCTTGATATACAAAGGCACACGAGATGGCTTTGCCGCCAAAGATTTCCACCGTCACTGCGATGGAAAAGGTCCAACGATGACCGTTATTCAATCGCACGGAAGTGGTTATCTCTTTGGCGCTCATACTATCATACCTTGGAGTTCACAAAATGGCCCGAAAAACGACTCAGAAGCATTTCTATTTACGCTCACCAACCCCCATCGCCATCCAATCACAAAATTCACCATTGACGACAAATGGAAACAATATGCAGTGCTTCACGTCAAAACTCGCGGACCAATATTAGGTAGCGTCCATCACTTACAGAGTGCCCCTCGATTTCCATTTTCTCTTGGTCTCAATCACTTTCTATTCTCAGCTCTTTCCTCTTGTGACGACAACGTGGCGTCATCCTTCTCGCGTGCTATCATCGAACTTTCAGCTTATGATTATGATTATGATTATAGGACTCGTTCATGTACAGCATCATCCTTCGATTTCCACTTTCTCTTGGTCTCAATCACTTTCTATCTTCAGCTCTTTCCTCTTGTGACGACAACGTGGCGTCATCCTTCGATTTCCACTTTCTCTTGGTCTCAATCACTTTCTATTCTCAGCTCTTTCCTCTTGTGACGACAACGTGGCGTCATCCTTCTCGCATGCTGTCATCGAACTTTCAGCTTATTATGATGGGCTTAATTCATGTACAGCATCATCCTTCGATTTCCACTTTCTCTTGGTCTCAATCACTTTCTATCCTCAGCTCTTTCCTCTTGTGACGACAACGTGACGTCATCCTTCTCGCATGCTATCATCGAACTTTCAGCTTATTATTATTATAGGACTCGTTCATGTACAGCATCATCGTGATTATTATGATTATAGGACTCCTTCATGTACAGCATCATCGTCCGATTTCCATTTTCTCTTGGTCTCAAGTTTCTAATATTTTACTTTAAAAGATAAACTTCTATCTCATTCAACAAAAACTCTGAACTCCCAGAAAATGTTTCCGCACCTCCGCCAAGGCGGTCAACGTATCTAA